CGGCGGTGTCCGCGGCGCGGTGGGAGCGTCGGTGGCGCTCTAAGTTAGGGTTTACCGGGACGTCCACGCAGCGTTTCCGAGGTGACTGCTGCGGCGGGGCGGCGGCCGCCATCTGCACTGAAAGGTAAGGTTTACTAGGAAATCAAGGTTTAGGGGGAAAGCCACCCAGCCTTTCCTAGGGGAGGGCGCCGAGTCCGGGACCGGCGGCGCACAGCTGGGTCGATGTGTGCACGCGGGGCCTCCACAACTTTCGCTATGCCAGCGGGGCGGGCGCGCTGGCCACCCCTAGGGCTTAAGTTCCCTGCGTTGGATTCCTCCCCTGCCGCTGCCGCCGGCAGCCCTGCTATCCTGGGCACTGGGAAAGAAACTTGTGGGCGGGTCTTCCTGTGGCATCCCAGGGTTGGAGGGATGGAGCAGCTTTGGAGCAAATCCTCTTAGATCTGGTGGAGGACATTGACCCTTTGCCCCACCTTCGAGGCCAGAAATCGGTTCACTCTGGGGACCTGAATGGCGAGAGACCTCAAGTCCCAAATGTGCAAAGTTGGGGTCTTTTTTGGCCTCCGGGATTCCACAGCTGGTGGTGTCTCCAGGCTGGCGGTGGGCAAGCCAGGTGTGCCAGGTCCAGGATGCACTAGAGCAGCCTTTGTAGCTATCACTGAATCGCCTCAGGACTAGCGGGGCAAACCTCAAATTCACCGCAGCATTTCCAGTAGGTTGGATTGTGGTGTTGCTCTTTGCGCTCCGCAGAGTTGCTGTGTTTTCCCTGTGTCTGTCTGCCTTGGGAGCTTCTCAAATCATCTCATTTGACATCCTCTCACATAACAGTTCAGCAAGACTTTTGGAATGGTTTCTTCGCTTTCCTTCTGTCTTTCACTGGTAAAGCTGCTTTCAAAAGGAAGTCTTTTCTTGCAGCACTATCTTTTCTTTGACTCCAGGTGCTTGACAAAGTTAAAGTGATCTGCTGGTAGTTTTTCATCTTTGTTCTGAGCTGATATGCGTTAGTAGCTTTCTTTCGTTTTTCAATTTTATTGGTAAAATTTTGCCTGCGAATCGGAAGCTCGTTTTTTCATTGTAAAATGCTAGCTTTAAGATTTTTGAGAACTCTGTGTCAAAGAAATCTTCAAAAACTTACTGAAGTCTAAGAATCGGCTCACAATTTTAAACTTGCAGGTGGTCTGGGGGCGGTGGATCACACCTGTAATCCCAGCACTTCTGGAGGCCAAGGTGAGCAGATCAGTTGAGCCCAGGAGTTCCAGACCAGCCTGGGCAACGTGGCACAACCCCATGTCTACTGAAAAGACAAAACATTAGCTGTGTGTGGTGGTGTGTGCCTGTAGTCCTAGCTACCCGGCAGGCTGAGATGGGAGGATCACCAGAGCCTGGGAGGTTGAGATTACAGTGAGCCGTAATCATGCCAGTGCACTCAGGCCTGAACGGCAGAGTGAGAGCCTGTCTCAAGAAAAGAAAAAAAAAATACAGGTAATGAATTTACGCTGAGTAAATTTCACCACAAATCAAGAAATAGAACATTACTAGATTGGTGTATATATGTAGGAGTGGTATTGTTGGTTTTAGAGGCATATGAATGACAAAATTTTAGTATCAGATATTGTTGATCATTTTCCCAAAGTGGTTGTACCGTTTAGCAGGGAATATTCTGGTCAACCCACATCTTTGCTTATGCTTGTCAATTAAAAATTATTGGCCGGGCGCGGTGGCTCAAGCCTGTAATCCCAGCACTTTGGGAGGCCGAGGCGGGTGGATCATGAGGTCAAGAGATCGAGACC